CAAGGGCTAAAGAAAGAAAAAGAGGCACAATTTTGAAGTACATGGGGGGCTGGGAGATTAATGCCAGAGTAGGCAAAAACAAAGATACTCCAAGCTAGCCACTATTTATTGGGTGCACGCAATAATCAGAGGGAGTATGAGTGACTCAGAGGGCAACGGTAATCCTATGTTGATGAGAATCTTTAGGTTGATGAGAATCTTAGGTCCATGAGGGTCTTATGTTGATGAGGATGGTGAGATAGGCAAAGCATTCTTACAATGCAGATGGGATGAGATTGCAGGCTAGTAAGGAATTTGTCCTTCCCCCATGTGAAATCTTTCTCGTTCTTTATTATTACCTGTTTCTCAAGAAATCAGATGTCTTCAGCTGATGTAATCTTGCCCTTGAGCATCACAGCATAATGGGACCATTGAGGCCTCAACTTGTGACCAGAGGTACACAGAGTTATGTTTCTGCATACCATAGCTGGCTTTCAGGCAAGGAGACATTAGGTCTCAGACAGCCCTAATCATAATTTAATTATGAAATTATTTTCCACAAAATTATATAGAATAGCTCTCAACAGAAAACAATACAAAGAATCAATGAATTGAAGAGTTGGTTCTTTGAAAGATTAAATAAAATTGACAAACCCTTAGTCAACCTTATCAAAAAAGGAAAGACTCAAATCCATGCGATTAGGAATGAAAAGGATAAAATCACAACAGATCTTGCAGCAATCCAGAAGATCATCAATACCTACCCTGAGGACCTGTATTCTAATAAGATGGAAAACTGAAGAAACGGACAGATTCCCTAGATATATATATACATAGATATAGATATATATATATATAGATATATATATATGAATTATCAAAGCTGAATCAAGAAGATATAAAAATTCTAAATAAATCAGTATCAGTCAATGAAATTGATGTAATTAAAACCCTACCGGCTGGGGATTTATCTCAGTGGTTCTGCCACCTGCCTCGAAAGCACAAGGTCTTGAGTTCGATCCCCAGTACCAAAAAAAAAAACCCTACAAACAAAAAAAAGCACAGGCCCTGATAGATTCACTGCTGAATTCTACAAAAAGTTTAGAGACGACCTAATGCCACTACTTTTCAAACTCCTTCAATGAAATTGTTTGTTTATTTTTTTGGTACTGGAGATCGAACTCAGGACCTTGCACTTTCGAGGAAGGCGCAGTGTCACTGAGTTAAATCCCCAGCCCTCTTCAATGAAATTGAAAGGGAAGCAAGGGGCCAGGGATTTAGCTCAGTGGTTTTGCTGCCTGCTGAGCAAGCACAAGGACCCAAGTTCCATCCCTGGTACCAAAACAAAAACAAAAACAAAACAAAAAAAAGAAAGGGAAGCAATATTCCCAAATTCATACCTGTAAGTAAGCATTACCCTGATATCAAAACCAGAGAAGGATCCAACCAAAAAAGAGAACTACAAGGCCAGGGATTTATCTCAGTGGTTCCGCTGCCTGCCTCGCAAGCACAAAGACCCAAGTTCAATCCCTGGTACCAAAAAAAAAAGAGAACTACAGGCTAACTTCCCCTAATGAACATAGATGCAAAAATCCTCAATAAGATATGAGACAGCATCTCACTACATAGTTCAAGCTGCCCTTAAACTCACTATGTAACCCAAGCTGGCCTCAAACTCACAGTGATCCTCCTGCCTCCTGCCTCAGCCTCCTGTAATCCCTGTGCTGGGATTACAGGTGTGCACAACCATGCCTGCCAACTCTCTTTTTGATTACTGTTTGTGTCACATACCTTTTCCCATCATTTTAAATCCCCCTACAATTTATAGCTAAAATCAATATCTCAAAGACAGCTTATCATTTTCAATGCAATCTGCCAATCTCTTCCTACAATAGGAGATTTTAATTTATTTATGTTTAATAGGACTATTAACAAAGAATGGTTTACTGCTATTTAGTTGTTTTTATGTATTCTTATGTTTTTCCCCAATCCCTCCACTATATCCCTTTTTAATTTACTTTGATTTTATGCTAGAGTACCATTTCAATTCACTTCTTTCCTTTTTTTTGTATATATATATACACATATATATGTAATATATACACATATATATGTGTATATATATATGTGTATATATATATATATATATTTTTTTTTGGTACTGGGGATCGAACTCAGATCCTTGTGCTTGCGAGGCAGGCAGTGGAACCACTGAGCTTAATCCCCGGCCCTTTTTTGTATATTTTTTACTTTTCTTTTCTTTAGTGCTTACCTTAGAATTACAATTATCACTTTACATTTGTAAGAACCCTCTTTTAATAACTCCAATTTAGTTTCAATAATATAAAAAACACTGCTCCTTGGGGCCGGGGATTTAGCTCATGGCTCTGCCGCCTGCCTCAGAAGTGCAAGGACCTGAGTTTGATCCCCGGTACCAAAAAAAAGAAAAAAAAAAAAAAACACTGCTCCTTTACATATCCATCTCTCCCCGCCCCTTTATTCTGTTACTATTACAGGTTACTGAGATTACATTTATATTGCATGCCCATTAACATGATTTATAACGTTGTTTTATACCTTTGCCTTTAAACACAAATACTGACCTTATAAGTGAGAAAGTTTTCAAAGAAAAAGCTTCAACGTAGAATGAGTCTGGGTGAATCCCCAGGGAGGGCACTGTGGTGGAAGCTGGGGAAAAGGCAGGGCGGCAGGAGAGTCTCCAGGACAGTAAACACTAGAATTAGAATTGAGTGGTTTGGGGGGTTGCTTCTTTGTGTTTGTTTTGAGTTTTGGTTTTGTTTTGTTTTGTAGTCCTGGGGATTGAACCCAGGGCCTTTGCTACATCCCCAGCCTTTATTATCATTATTATTGTTGTTGTTGTTGTTGTTGTTGTTGTTGTTATTACTATGAGACAGAGTCTTGTTAAGTTGTTAAGTTGCCCAGCCTGGGCTTGAAACCCTCCTGCTTCAGCCTCCCAGAATGCTGAGATTACAGGCATATGCCATCAAGCCTATCTTGGAATTAAGTGTTCTTAAATCTGATTAGGGAGACAGTGTTACAATGCTGGGGATCAAACCCAGAAAACGAAGTGTGCTAAGCAAGCACTATCACTGAGCTGCACCCCTAGCCTCAGAATTGAGTTTTGAAAAACAACGAATGACTATGCAAAACTGCTTAATTCACAGGGGGAAAATCTCCAAATATTTCATTTAGGGGAGAAAAATGTAGGTTACCAAATAGCATGAATGACCTCATTTTTGTAAATATGTGTGTATTTATACATATTTAAAGATACATGTGTATATGCGCATAGAAAAACATTCGTGATTATAATCATGGTGTTTTAACAGTGGTTTTCTCCAGCTGTTGAAACTATGGGGAGAGCAAACATTTCCTTGGTTTTTTCGCTTGTGGATTCTGCATTGTTTGAATTATCTACAGTGAGTATGCATCACTTTTATAACCCAGAAAAGTAATCACGCCATTTTTGTACTGCGAAGTCCAATGAATGAGCAGATGTTCACTGTGGAGAGAATCGGGAGGCCCCTGCTAGCTGAGGGAACCAGAGGCAGAGGCAAAGAGGCACAGAAGCCACGCCCTGTTATAGCCCTGCCATCACAGCTGCTGCCCAAGGGCCTTGGGGTGGCTGGAAAATAGGTATTTCTAGGGGCCCAATTACCAAGCCCCTCCTTTTCATAAAAAGATTTTGAGGGCAGTGCATGTCTCCAGGGCAGGAGAGTAAGAAGTTCTGATTTACATATTAAGCAAAGTGGTTAATGGGGGAGAGGAGAAGCCCAGAGGCTGGCAGGCAAGGGGGAGGCTGGGGCAATTATCCAGAGAAGAGAAAATGGAAGAGGTAAGTGGAGACCAACCTAGACGCAGTTCTTCCCAGGTGGGAAGTGGGCCAGTCTATCTCACTGGGGTCTCCGAGACTGTGTCCCAGCCTGGACATGTTAAAGGCAGGAAGCCAGGTCTAGAGAGTGTCACTGTGATCACGATGAAGATGATGCTGATTCATGATGATGAGAAGGAAAACCTCATTTAAAAAAAAAAGTCCCTGCAGCCCTTTACAGCTTACTGACTGCTCTATTTCTGCCTCCGAGCACATCAAAATTCACGTTCCCATTCTACAAACAAACACACCAAGGCCTGGACAGAGGATCCATCCAGCAAGAGACCCAAACCCAGGGCACACTCCTAGGCACAGGGGAGGCACTGCTGCCATCTCAGCACATCCTGAGCAAGGACAGAATTGTATGACCTTGGGCAATTGGCATAATCTCTCTATGCTTCAATTTCTTCTCCTAGACCATCAGTAAAATACCGCAACGACTTCACAGATGGCTGAAAAGGTGAAGTGACTTAATGTATGTAAAGGGTTTGCACAAAAACTGGCACATAGTAAGTGCTCTGTAAATATTAACCCTGGCTGGGGATTTACCTCAGTGGTTTACCGCCTGCTGCTCAAGCACAAGGACCTAAGTTTGATCCCTGGCACCAAAAATATATACATACATATTAGCCCTAATTCTTTCTTCTGAGGATCATTAGTATGTGCATGGTTGACCCAGAAAGAAGCAAAGGGGAAGGCCCAGAACTTGGTCCTCCCTCCTTCCTTCTCAGACCCTGGCTCGTGGGATAAGTACTGAGGCTTGAGAATGCATTCCCTGCCTGGTTGGCCTACCTCCATGCTTTTTGTCGTATTCATTCATCCACCCATCCATCCATCCATTCATTCATTCAACAGCCATTTATTTACTGAGCCCCATGGCAAGGCCAGAGCCCAAGCTGGGCACAGTAGGGCTAACCAATGAGCACTCACAGAGCAGACTCCTAAAGAGTCCTCTTCCCTGCCCCCAGCAGCTCATTCCTTCCACAAACATTTTTTCAAGCATCTCTGAGGTGCTCACCAAGGCCTCAGGAACATGACCAAGAGATGAAGTTCCTGTCCTTGTGCAATTTGCTGCGCCTGGGGCAGAGTCTTGGGCTACCTGTGAGCCAGAAGCAAGCAGGCAAGCACATCGGTCGATCACTGTATTTATGATGCAGGCTCTGAGGAGAATAAAGCGGGAACGGGACAGGGACTGATGTTGGACACCCATACCACGTGAACTTGTACTTGGTGCCTCTCTTCTCTAGGCTTCCATTTGTTCCCAGGTAACAATCATGTCTACCTGTGCAGGGAGAGGAAAGGAGTTAATACAGGTGAAACCTGGCACCCCATGAGCACCATGGGTGTGTCACAGTTATTATTAATTTTAAATAGACACATAAACAGATCATCAAAACACCAGGTGCAGGGTACAGCAATACAGACCCATGGCATCCTGGGAGCACCGAGGAAGAGGCCAGGGTGACAGGTAGCCCAGCAGGAAAGAAGCAGGGGAGACTAGGTAGAAATGCCCTCCTCCCTCCACCTAGCCCTTCATCCCAGTTCCTGCCAGCCATCCCCAAGGATGCTGCCTCTCCGAGGAACGGGGCAGACAGAAGGGGGCCAGAGACACCCAGCCTCTCTTCCCTTGGGACAGGACACCGATGGCCACTGAGCCACCTTCCCAGGTAGCAGAGTGCCCACTCTCCCTGGCCACTTCCTCTCAGGGTTCTGGGCTCTCCAAAGTGCACACTGACCCCCCCTACAGATGGAAATGCTGTGGCTGGGAGACAGAATGAAGGACAGCTCCTATGTATAAGGTTCCTTCCTAGATCTGGAATTTGGGGTCCCTGAACACACACAAACCTTCCCACAACTCTGCGGGGTGGCCATCAATGCCCCCATCTTTCAGATGAGCCTACATTGGTGAGGGAGGACACAGGTCATTCTGGGTCACTCAGTCCAGAAATGGCAGCAGCCAGATGGTTAGAATCTGGGCTGGCAGCAAAGCAGCTGCCCTTCACGTCCTCCCACCATCCTCTCCTCCTCACCAGATGGGGGGGGTCCCAGAAAGCCTGTTGCACAGGCAGGCAGAGCAGGGGGCTGGCATTGCTGGGGTGCAGAATGACCTGAGCCTGGGAGAGAGCCTGGACTGTTGGCCGGGAAGGGTACAGCCAGGAAGAGATGGAAGGCATGGGACCTGGGAGGAAGCAGCCTCCACTCTACCTCACAGGCAGCCTGGCAAACAGGAAGTCTCTGCACCCCTGGTCTCCAGCAGAACCTGGCCAGGCCGCCCCTTCCCAGCCCTGTGCCCACCAGGACCAGGATGTGGGCAACCAGGGACAGACAGGCCCTGAGGTAGACGGCCCCATGACCCCCACGCCTGGCCTCAACGGCCACAAGCCAAATACTCCTTGTGGCTTGGGGCTCAGCCAGGCACCCACACCCCAGCTCACGGGACCACGACTTCCCTGTTGCTCAGCACACACACACCCCAGCTGGTTATACAACCTACACAACCACACACCCGGGGGCCCCTGTGGTCCCACAGAGGACACTGAAACTTCACCAGGGGCACAGGCACCTCTCCCACCTCCTGGCACCTGGAGGGGAAGGCTGGCCAAGAGCCAGGTGTGCAGCTTTCTACGGGCTCCCCGCAAAACCCCAGTGAGCCAAATTCCCTCTCTGCACCTCTGTCCCCCCTAGAAAGGAAGATCATTTCCACCCTGATGATCTAACACCCTCTTTCCTCCCTCCCTGCTGCTGCACCCCACTTTCCCTAGAATGTCATTGAGAAAGGCAGTGAGAATCAGCTTGGAAAGAGCCCTTTGGGATGGGGCATCCTCATGTAGAAGTGGGTGCTCCTTGAGTGGAGCCTCATGGTTACCCCCTGTTGAGGAAGATGGAAGACTCTGGCCAGAGCTCTTTTGAAACTAAGGAGTCAGACGTGGGAGGTGATTTTCTTCTTTACACTTTTTCTCCCCTTTTCTGAGTGTGCTGCAGAACTGCTTTGCACTAGATGGGGGAGGGGTGCTTGTACACAACCCCCACCCCTACCCTGACAGGGACAATGCCTTAACCCAGTGCTTCCCTAAGTGTGAGGCAGCAAAGCGGCCCAACTAAGCCCAGGACACCTGGGTAGAACAATGCAGTGTGGTTTCCTTCACAAGCCTCCAATATGCAAAACTGTGACCCAACACTCAGAGAGGATGAGCAACATGGGGACACCTTTGTCCTTAGGGCTCTCAATGGGGAACACTTCCAGGCACTGTGGGAACACAGGTCCCAGTGGAGGGGGCCTCAGTGTCCACCCTACATGGACAGCCTCCATGGAGGCACATGGGGCAGGTGCCCTAGGCAGCCACCACTGTAGCTCAAACTCCATGTGCCCTGCCAGATCTGGTGTAAGTCATGCATCCTGGTTCTGAAGGCAGGTGGTGATGGAAGAGGGCCCGTGGGTGGCCCTGTCACCTCCCTGATGTTACTTAGATCTGCACTGACCCCTGCTGGCTCTGGCCAAAATCACCCCTCCCCTGATTCTTGGCCTCTTCTTGGTCCCTGGCCTTCCAGCATCTTCCCCATGGCCTGGACCCATCAGGAGTCGAGACCACACTCCGCTCAGGTCCCCACTCTGCCCTCTACCCCTCACTTGGAATCTGGCAACACATTGGTGGGTCTGGGGCTAGTGCTGGGGAGACGCCCTGACAGGGTGGGACTGATGGGTCCCTGGCCCGAGATTTAACTCAGTGGTGCCACCACCAGCTTCGCAAGCCCAAGATCCTGAGTTCGATTTCCGGTACCAAAAAAAAAAGTCCACAGCTGACGCTTAATGGTGGACTGATGGGTCCCTTATCAACAGCACTGTCTCCCAGGAGAAATTTCCAGACCACTATAATAGTGACAAGCATTGGTTGACTTTTTCCAGGAACAGATCCAACCCCTTTATGTAGATTATTCCATTTAGTTCTCATAAGAATTCTAAGAAGTAAGCACTATTCCCAGATTTGCTCAGTTGAGAAACTGAGGCTCAGAAATTAAAAAAAAAAAAAAAAAAGTAAATGACAAAACCCAGATTTCAATCCAGTCTGACTTCTGCCTGCAATCAATGCCACCTACAGTGTTCAAGTACACTTTTGTCTGCCCTGAGCCCATTGCTTGAGGGAAGGATGGCTCAGTGGGGCTTGTCCATGCCACCAGGAGTGGGCCTGTGATCCACATCTGGACAGTCATTGTGCCTTGTCCCCTGGCAAGCCAGCTTTCAGATTTGGCTTTCATGGCCAGGATCCATCTCCTCTTGATGATTTCCTTTGTGTCCTAATTTTCTTAAAGCAGCCCCGAATCCTTAGTAAGAGTGGCTTAGATTGCTAGGCATGGTGGCACCTGCCTGTAATCCTAACATGGGAGACTGATGCAGGAGGAATGCCATGAGTTTGAGGCCAGCCTGAACTACATAGAGAGACCCTGTCTCAAAAAAAACAAAAAAAAACAAACAAAAAAATGGCTTGGATGGAGATGACTCCACCTCCACCTCTCCAGAGGCAGTCATGTGACTTAAACCAAGGCCCTTGAGCACAAAACGTCCTGGCCACAGTGATTGGCTCTGGAGGGACATGTGACCAACGAAGGCCAATCGAGCCAGCCTGGGACTTTTCTGGAGCCACTAGGAAAAGGGAGGACTTTCCATTCTGGAGCCACTGAGCAGATCTGTGTGGATGGAGCTGCTGGACACACCATCCCCAAGAAGGAAGCCCACACAGAGGCCTATATAGAGACCAATCCAGATGACAGGACCCCAGCTGTGCCATCAACAGGCCCATCCAGATGCTTCCATGACAAAGGCCAATAAATTACTCTTCTGTTGCCGCTCTTGTCAAGCAAGCTTGAGCTGGGCTCCCGTCCTTTGAAACAAAGTTCTAACAAGTCCCCCATTTGTATCCCTGTGAATGCCTGGGTCTCCTTCCAGCCTCTTCTGTGCTTATAGAGTCATACTGGGCATTTTTAAAATAAAAATTGACACCACTGGTTACTCCTTCCTGCCAGATACACTCTTTGGCTTATTTTTGTGAAAACGCCTCTCCTAGTTTTCCTCCTGCTCCTCTGAAGTTCTGTTGTCTCATTTTCCTCTGTTGGCTCCCCTAGCTTATGAGTAACAAACCAGCCCTGGCATTTATAAGAAAAAAGAGGAGGGCCAGGGATTTAGCTCAGTGGTTCCGACGCCTGCCTCCCAAATGCAAGGTCCTGAGTTCTATCCCTGGTACCAAAAAAAAAAAAAAAAAGAGGAAGGGGAAGGAAGGAGGAATTTACTTGGAAAATATTGAGGTTGTTGCTCAGAAGATCAACTGAACTGGAGGCTGGAGCGCCTCTCCTGGCCCTAGGGTGGAAGTGACTTACTGGACTCCAAAGGCCCTTCTGGCCCAGAGTCAGGAGCACAAGATGCCCAGTCACAGGTGACTCTGGCCTTTTGTGCTCAGGTCCCTGCTGTCCCTTGGTTGTCCCACAGAGGCGAAAAGGACATCCTAGTGGAATGACTCTAGGGATCCTTCCAACTCTGACATGGGAAGCAGATCAGGTGACTTTCACCCCACAAGATGGCGGAGAGGCAGTGCCCCAAAAGGAAACAGAGGCCAAGAGGCCACCAAACGAGTGTGGACATCTTCCTGGAGTCCTTGGGATTGTGCTCCGCACATTCTCTTCTCTACACTGCTTTTGGGTCCTCTTATTCCCTCCCATGGTGGGTGCCACTGCCACCAATGTGCCTACCACCCTCGGCCCAGACCTCCAGCCCAGACTTGGCTCCGTGAGTTCTATATGGATGGCTCTCAAACCCTACAACTTGCCCTGGTCACCAAGTCTACTCCTCCCTGGAGTGGAGGGTCACTGAGTCATTCTCACTGCACTGTCTGCCTGAGGGCCTTCACCCACGAGAGGCCTCTCCCTGGCCTCCTCCATTTTATCATCCCTTCTTCCCCCAGCTAATTCCCTAGGGCACAGACCCCAACTCTTCTCCTCTCATTCTTTAGTAACAGAACTGCTGAGCTGTAGCCAGGCCCATGCTACCCACAATAAAGGCAACTCGGCAAAGTCATGTGACCTAGTCAGGCCAAGGGTAAGCAACCAGAAGTGTGTGCACACACAAAAGTGTCCTTAAAAAGGGAAGGGCATGCCCATCTCGCTCCCCTTTTCTCCTTACTCCTCACTGGACTGTGGGCACAATGATTGGAGCTGGAAAAGCCATTTTGGACTATGAAGCCAAAAATGAGTAATAGAAAACCATGGCTAGACACCACAACGGAGGAGGCCAGCCCCTGATGGTGACCGAGATCTTCTACAAGCCCTGGGCTTGTAAGAGAAATAACTGTCTTACTCTTAGGGCTTTCAGCTACTCAGGCATGAACCTAATGTAGCCCACAGCTGCCATCTCACAAATCTCAGCTTTTCCTCTAGGCCCTGAGGCCCTTCCCTCAAAGCATGGTTGTTGAGGACTGAGGGGTTGGCTAACCCCATCCCCAACAGGCTGCAAGCATGTCAAGAAAGGGATCAGGGGCCTGGGATTTCGCTCAGTGGTTCCAGTGCCTGCCTCACAAGTGCAAGGTCCCGAGTTTGATCCCTGGTACCAAAAAAAAGAAAGGGATCAAGCTTTATCTGTCCCCATCTTCCTACACTGGCATGGTGCCTGGCACATGGTAGGCACTTAGTAAAACCCACTGGGTCAAAAGAAGGGCCATGCAGGTGTGGCTTGCAGAGGAAGAAGAACTTGGTAGGTTGGTGGGAACTGGATCCAGCAGGTTCTCTGCCTGCTGGCCCCCATCCAAGAGAACTAGAGGACTGTGGGTGAGTGACCGGGTTTGGCTATTGTCTCTGACCAGGGCCTGGTCGGCCACTGCTGCCCCTCTCAGCAGAGCACAAAGAGGTGACAGCCACCAGCTGCAGAAGAGCTTGCAGATGCACAGGAACCAACTGAGACTATAGCTCAGTGGCAAAGTATATGCTTAGCATGTGCAAGGCCCTAGGTTCAATCTCCACTACAAGACACACAGAGACCTTCTGGCTTCGTCTCCCCCTCCCGTCCTCCCCCACTCAAGCATTGCAGGGAACAGGTGGACCCCAGCACAACCCCACATGCAGGAGTAACCCCAAGCCAGATAGGTGCCAACTGGAAGGGGCTGCAGGGGACCTGGAGCTCAGTCCTGCATCTGCAGTAGGCAGATGGGGAAACTGAGGCCAGAAAGGGCAAGGATTTGTCCTCATCCCTACAGCAAGCTGAAAGAAGCCCTCAGGGCACTTGACTCCCATTTCAGCACTCTGTGCCTGCCAGGGAGATCTGGGAAGGAGAAGGGCCTGAAGGATTGAAACAGAGAGTCACCGCCTCATCTACTCCAGAGCAAAGAACATGGGCTCCAGAGCCAGCTGGGCTGGGCACCAGTTCTCACTCCACCTCCATCCACAAGGTTCCCTTCAGCAAATGTCCCAGCCTACCTGTGCCTCGGTTGCTCCAACTGTGAAACACAGACAACAGTAATTATACTAGTAATTACTAGTAAATGAGCGCTTGGAAGAGGCCTGACCCACAGTAAGTGCTCAGTAAGCAGGGACTGCGCCTATTGCGTCTCATCGGGGTCTGCTAGGGCATCCTAAAGCAGCAGAGCAGAGGACCCTCCCCTAAGAAGAGGCTGGCAGGGAAGGGGGCTGAGCCATCTTATTCTGAATGCGGATGTAAGCCCGGCCCCCTGCCAGGCTCCCAGCAACTCCACCTCCCATCTCCTGTCTCCGGACTCAGTGGGCTCTCCGCCCCTCCAGTCGCCAGCCTGTCTGCCAGGCTCTCACGCCCGATGCAGAGATAAACCCCAGCCACGACGGTATTGTTTTCCCAAACACTCATCGTGCCCCCAGAGAATGGGATTAGTCGGACACTCAAGCAGCTCCAGTGTAGAACCCTTGAGTGAGGCTTTTCCCAGAGCTGGCCCAACCCCAGGCCTTAGAGCTAGCTGGGTTTGTGTGGAAGGGGCAAGGGAACAACCGTGCAGCCTGAGCTTCGGGAACATTCTGCTGCCCTCCACTCCACCCCAATGTATAGGGAGGGGCTGCTTGGAGGAGTGGTGAAAAGGGACAGCATGCTCTAATGGTCAATTCCTGCCCTAGCCAGGGCCACAGTCTCTGGCCCCTGTGCCCTGGGGTGGCTGATCCAACAGCACAGCATCTCTGTCCCCAGGGAAGACAAGCTCAGCGTGCCAGGCAGGGGGAGGGAGGGCCAGGGAGCTGCTGGCTTCATCCGAGCAGAGTCAGCCAGGGTGAGAGGCCTTCCTCCTTCCCTGTCAGGGTGCCCCCTGCTCCCCAGTACTCCAAGGGCAGCTGCTCACAGGACCTCACTGCCCTGACCAGGCCAGACAGGTGACCAGGAGCCAGGGACCCACCAAAGCCCCCAGAACCACAGCAAGCCAGTCATGGCCAGTACACGTTGCTCAAACAGTCTCCACCCAGCCAGGCCCCTGTGTGTCTGCTCAGCCAGCAGGTCTACCTCCCTCCCATAAGGCTGGGCCCAGCAGGCAGCCCCAGACCACCAGTCCCATCCGGCAGCCATGCACATCCCGGCTTCTCCTCCCCTTCCTTCTGCTCAGCTGTCCCGCCACAGGAGCTCTTCCTGGGTCACCCCTAACCTCTCCGTGATTCCATGGTGGTGATAAAATGATAGCGGCTGGGACAGGTAAAGAAGCAACGATGAAGGTGGTGATGTGGACATGGACGCGGACAGTCAGTCTAGCCGCTCTGGTGATGGTGGTGATGGCGAAGGGGATTCTGGCACAGGAGCAGAGGGTGGTGGTGATGCTGGAGGTGGTGATAGAGGCAGTGGAGGTGAAGGCAGACGTGATGAAGGTGATGAAGGTGGTGACGGTTATGGAGAAGGAAGGTGGTGAGGGAGGAGGTGGTGGTTGAAGCGGTGATGGAGGCAGCAGTGGTGGTGATGGTGGAGGTGAGGTGAAAGCGGTGGTGGTGGCCATAGTGGAGGCAGTGATGGCGGAGGTGGCAGTGTCAAAGGAGAGGCTCACAGTCGTGGAGGCAGTGATGGCTGCAGCAGTGGGGACCAGGTGAGCATGATCTTCTCTCCCTTTCTAAGCATAAACAGACCATGAACTGACCCTGGGGACCACAGGAACATTGTGCTACGTAGAGATTGTCCAGGGTATCAGGCACAGACAGCCCTAGAGCAATGAGGGGATGATCCCTCCTTACCCAGTACGCCAGCAAGGCACAGTATGTTCCCTCGCAGAGTTCAGCAGGACTTCTCTCCAACATGAAGCAAGTTTCCACCAGCCTAGGATCTGCTGAGGCTCCCCTGGAGGGATGTAGATGGAGGCCACGCTTAGGAGACAGAGGATCCTGTACTGGAATCCCAACCAAGTGCAGTCAACTTGGATCTGAACCTTACTCTAAAAGGGAATCATAATTCTTGCTGACAGGGCTATTGTGAAGATTGAGCTAAATATCCTCGAAAGAGCCAGGCACAGAGTAATGGCACAATAGCTGACGGATATTTTCATTCTGTAGTCCATGGCTTTCTCATTCACCCCACCGCCTACTCCTACCCCATGTTTCCTTTTGCCATGAGCCACCATGTGTTCATTCCCAGAGCTACCAAAACAAATTACCACAAATTTGGTAGTTTAAGACCTCAGCCCGGTTCTGGAGACTAGACACCTGAAATCAGGATGTCAGCAGAACCACGCTCTCTCTTCCAGCTTCTGATGGCTTCAGTCTCTGCCTTCATCTTCACATGGGGTTTTTGCGTGTTCTTTTTGCAAGGACACTCATTGGATTTTGGACTCACCCTGATCCCATGTGGTGTCATATCAATCCTTACCTTCAAGGCACTGCAAAGACCTTATTTCCAAATAGGTCACATTCTCAGGTTTCAGTTCAACATAGACATACATACATATACATATATATATTTTTTTGTACCAGGAATTGAATCAAATCAAAATACATTTTGAGAGGACACTATTCAACTTACTACTCCCCAATCTCAGAGTGAGCCAGACCTACTTCCTCAACCCTCTACTACTGAGGACAGCAATGGCCCCTGTCTAGGCAGCTCCAAGCCACCCAAAGTCCTGCTGCATCCCAGGCCTCCAGCCCTGCCCCGTCCAGGCATCTTGCGTGGCCGGCTATGTGCGTGCATGGATTCCCTCTTGGCTTGGCCATGAGAAAGGGGGATTCTAGGCTGCAACCAGAGCCCACAGGGGCCTCTCTGCTCGGAAATGCTTCTTCCTCTCCCCCTGGCAGCTGTTTGGCTTGGCAGGGGCCCAGCTGGCAAGATCAGCAGCCAAGGAGTCCTGGGGGGCAGGGGGAGGGAAGGGGGAGGGGCAGGCAGCTCCCTCCTTGGGCCCAGGCCTGGGAGCCGGGCCAATGGCAGGCCTCCCTGCTGGCTGGCTCCAGCCCCCTTGCTCTGGGCTCTTCTCCTCCCCAGCCTCCTGTCCTCCCCATTCCACATAGGGGAAATCTGGAGATCCTCCACCACCCACCCAGCCCAGAAGAAGACGTGCAGAAGAGGAGCAGCAGCTGGCAGAGCTAGAAACACACACAGTCGGCGGGCACTGTGGATGCTCTCACAGGCCTCTGGTACTGTTGGAGGAGGGCACCCAGGGACAGCTGGGACTCCTTCCAACATCTGGATGCCTTGTCCCCATCCTCCCATGCTCCTGAACCCTCCTGGCCCTTGTGTCCCCTCTAAGACATTTGCCTTCTACTGCCAGGGCTCCTTTGAGTCCCCACATTCTAGCCCATTCTCCTGAGTCAGATAAGCAGGACAGAAACTGGATGTCCTCAGCCCCCACAGGTCCTGTGACCTCCTCCCACCAGTGAGAAAATGACAGAGACACCCAGGGTACTGAGCCTGGGCTCCAGGGTCCACTTGGCCTGGGTTTACATCACAGCTCTGTGCTTAACATCTGTGTGACCCTGGACAGACAATTTAGGCTCTCTGATCCTCAATATCCTGTCATGAAAATGAGGATAATTACAGCTACCTTCCCCATCTCTAAGAGCACAAGGATAAAATCCCACTGCTCTGAAGCAAAGTAGGTACCCTGTCCAAATAATGACATCTTGCTACAGGGTGCACTGTGTCAGCACTTTACATAGTTTATTGAATTTAATCCTAACAATAGAAACCATTCATGGCTAAGGGAGTGAAGCAGTTTGAGTCCCAGGGCTGGTAAGGGGCTGAGCTGAGATTTGACTCCAAGCACCATGTATCCAGACTCTGCACTTTTAAACCACTGTGCTCTGCCAGAGTAGCCATGGGAAACGGTATCAGTGTTAGTGTTAGTATTAATAATAGTGTTAGTATTAGTATCATTACAGGCTGTTGGGCTGAGCCCAGGTCACGGAGAGCAGCTGGGGTGCGGGGTTTTCCGGGGCCCCTGCAGCTGCAGTGTGTGGTCCCTCCTGGCCTTGCACACAGCCTGCCCCAAGGCGGTGATCTGCCTAGCTCCCTTGCAGTCCTGAAACCCTGGGCGCAAGGACTGCTCCATCCCAGCTCCCAGCCACTGGAGAACACTGACACTGAGGCTCCTGCAGCGCTTGTGCCTTGGCACATCTGGAAGCTGTTAGCCTGCTCCGCACCCCTCCCCAAGCCAGCTGTTTGCGGTGGCTAATTCCGGGAAGTACCCCCCAGCCAGCGGCTGCCTGTGGGGGCAGGGATGAGGTTCTACGCCACGAGCTGGTTGGATGGACTAGGAGTGAGCTGGGCAGGCAGCAGAGGGTTAATCTGAGCAACCACAGCCAGCACCCAGAGGAGCTGGCCTCCTCCTCCAGCCTGCAGATAGCCATGGGGTTACTACAGGTTGAGTAATGAGGAGGGAAGGGACGAGAGGAGGCAGGGGGAGACCAAGGCACAGAGATGCAGAGAATGTTTCTGCTGGAAAAGATCTTCCAAAGGTCATCTGATACTGTCCATCCCCCTGCTGCCTGGGGGTCACAGTGACCGCGTGGTGGAGCAGGAAGAGGGCAGCTTTGTAGTCAGGCCGAGCTAGGTCACAATCCTGACCCCATCACTATTGGTCTGGGTGGCCTTGAACGAGGTCCTCAGCCCCTCCAGGCCCAAGCGGCATCGTCTGTGGACAGGAGAGTAGTGCCCCCTCGCAAGACAGCCACAGGGCTTCTGGAAGGTATATCCAGCAAATTTGCTTCCCCATCTCTAAGAGCAACAAGAAGCTGTGAAGACATCTTCCCCTGTCTCTATTCCCTGCCCCACTTCCTGGAGTATTGCTTTCTGGAGCCTGCCCCCCACACCCTATCTCATCCAGGACCCTCTCTCCTGGCCATGCCCAGACTGTGCTTCCTCACTATCTGAACTTGCTGAAGCCACCCGTACCCAACACTGCCACCGGCACTGACAGCTCCTGTGGACTCCCACAGTCCCCAGTCTGCCTCCACCCCTCGGGAAGGTGACCAGACATCTCTGAAATCAATCATGCCAGGGGTTAAATGTCATCCTTGCTGCAAAGGAATGTGCTACCACATGCCATCTCCATTGCAATCCTAGAAAATAAGGTTCTGCTACCATTTCATAGATGTGAGAAAAGCCACAGGACTTCTGGACCCTCCTCTAAAAAGACACAGCCCTAAGAAACAAAACACTGGTTAATGTCTCCTGTGGGTCCTCCTGCAAAGAGCCTGTGTCCCTGGGCAACCAGCCTGTCCATTCTCACTGGGACACTCAGGGACACTTGGCCCTACCCCAAGGAGCTGCTTTGTCACCTACAATCAGGTGTCCCTGACACCCACATTCACAGGTTGCTCTCCTGCCTGCTGCCCTACACCTTCCAGTTTCCTGTAGCAGTGAAATCACATTGCCCAGGCTCCAGGCCCCCACCATGGCCTCTCCCCTGCCTTCCTCCTGGTTCACACCCTTAAGGCATCTAAAGACTGCTCTGTCTGCAGGAGCCAATTCTGGTTAGTTCCTTGTTATTTTTAACTGCAATTTATCAGGTGCTTACTTTGCTAGGTGCTGTTTGGAGCTTTATGTCTGCTATTTCATTCAGCACCCCACACATACATAGCAAGTCCAAAATGAGTATCAGTAGATTGGTTTTACAAATGAGGAAACCAAGTTTCAGAAACAGGCGCTCTGTATACTGCATAGTCCCAGGCTTCGTGAACAGCACCCCTTGGCCTTGGGAAGGGCCCCACCGCCCAGCATGATTCAAGTAGACAGTCAGGTTCACCCAGATTGAAGGACTCCAGACTGAAGAGTCGGCCCCCCCGGGTGTTGGCTCCACTGGGATGCCCTCCAGACATCTCCAAAACCCTGATCTTTCCCCCAAAGTGCTTCACCCCTAGCCTCATGGTCTCTGCTCACAATGTCTCCACCCTCCCAGTGGCTTGGCCAGAGAGCGGGGAGAACCATTGACACCTGTCCCCCACATCCCACCTCCAATCATCAGATATCTTGGTGGCTCCACCTTCACAATATATTCAGAATCCACCAGCCTCCTGCTGGGACCACCAGGACCACCTGGCTGGAGGGTTGTTGAGCATCAGCACTCGAGGGGGGCCCTGCCAAGACCAGCTTAAACACATTCAAGTTTAAAAATGTCTTCACATCCTCGTCTCCCAGGACCCTCCCTGTCACCTGACATTCCTCTCCCTCTGTCCCTCTGTCCCTCTCTCCTTTTTTTCTTTCCATCCTTCCTTGCTCCCTCCATCTATTCCTTCTCTCCCTCCCTCCTTTCTTCCAAAACACTCACTGAGCATCTGGTCCACTCATAATGCAGGAAGGTGGGGGTTGTGGGAAACCAATGTAGTTCCAGGGTCTCGGGGGATTTAAAACTGCACTCACGGTTTCGATAACAAGACCAAGCTGTTGAATTAGGAGCAAAGCCAGCCCAGGCCTCCGGAGCAGGTAGGCTCCATCAAAGGGGCAGGGAACTCTTATGAAGAAAGCAGATCTGAGCCGGCTCTCTAGGAAAACAAAGTGGGGGAGGTCAGATATTCCAAGGTAAAAAGGAGGAAGGAAAAGGGTGCTGCCTAGAAAGGGCGGTTTGCAAAACTGCTTGGAGGTGAGGGGGCCGGAGAGTTGGCTCTGTGGTATACTGCTTAGCTGGCACGCACAAGGCCATGGGTTCGATCCTTAGAGCTGGCGGTGGGATGGGGTAGGGGGTGGAGAACAAAGTCCAAAGGTTTGGAAAGAACAAGACCAGCATGAAGGGCCCCCGTCTGGTTGGAACAAAAAGGTCACTTGGAGGGCGGGGGAGTATAAGGAGCACCTGGAAGTGATGAGTGAGATGATCAACAGCTGGACTCACAGCTGGATCTGGCACAGGGATGACC